TATATATACACACACACATGCACATACATACATATATATATATATACATATATACATATCTACATATATGCATGTAGACATATACATAACACACATGTGTGTGTACTTACGTGTATACATACACACATATTCAACCATAGCCACACATGTATACATTTTCATATACATATACACACATATACGCATATAAACTTATATCATATATATGTTTACATGTATACATATACATGCATGTATACAGGCTTACAGACATACAGATGCACAGGTATACGTATATACATATACACAATTGTACACATGTCTATACATACATGCATGCATGCATACATATGCAGATGCATATACATAAAAATATATACGTATACGTATACATATAAATATACATGTACATATAAATATACCATAACATATACCTATGCATACACATATACAGTTATGCATGTATACATATACCACATACACGTATATGCCTATACGTATACATAAACATGTACATATACGTCTGTACCTTCTCACGTGCATATGTACATCTCTACATCTATACATATATACATATACACACACATATATATATATGTGTATGTACATAGGTGTGTACATATATATATATATATATTTATATATATGTGATTCTTTGTATGCTTACTGGCCACATCCGAAGCCCTCCAGGTCCTCCCATGGTACCTCGATGCAACGGCTGGAGTAGCGAAACAAATGGTTGATTCAGCGCACACCCTCCTCTCCCAAAATCCTCCCAAAACCCAGAAAACCCTAAACCCTAAACCCTAAACTCTAAACCCTAGACCCTAAACCCTAACCTTAACTCTGAAACCCTGAACCCCAAAATCGCTCCCCCAACTGTCAAACACCAAAGCTCGAATTCCCTGAGAAGCGTATCCCAAACCCCTAAACCCAAACAGCATCTGCAAGCCATCAAAGGCTAAAGGTGCTGGTCCAGCACTCGGCATCCCGGGCTGCTAGATGCATACTGAGTACCTATAGTCTGCATTGTAGTTCCTTTTCGCGGTTTAACCAAATATATATTAACGAGTTTATCAGGTATCCCCAAAAAAGAACTACAATGGAGACTAGAGGTATTGCTAAAACTTCTGATTCCCATATTGTCCTAAACCCTAAACCCCAGCCTGCGGCGACGATGGTGTATTCTTCGTTATGGAGGGTGCTGACAACAATAAAAATCTGTTGATGATAATCATAACAATAAGAAAAGTAATAACATGATACTGATAATCACAATGGTCATAATCACAGCATTAAGTTATGATTATCGAAACATTCATAGTAAGAGTAGGATGCCCCCATCAAGAGCGCCAAAGGCCTCGAAGAAATCCCAAACAACTTGGCACCCTCGTGACGAAGGCCCGAAAGCCTCTAGCAGACTCTGAAGCCTGAACCGGGAATGTTAAAGCCTCCATGTACTATACTATATTTGGGTCATGCAGAATTTTGTCCATCAACCGTAGCAACAGCCCTGAGGCCCCAAACAAGAGATCTGTTCATGACCCGTCGAGGTTGTTATACAATAAACACAAACGATTCCGTAGAAACACCGAATCCTAGGACCGAGAGCGCGGTGTGACCGAGCAAGGTGCGACTTACCAACAGCCGAACAGGCAATCGACTCTTCATGCGCCAGCAGTGCGGGTAGTGGGGGGGCCTTAATGCTATGGACATCAAACCCAGGGCTTGTCGACTTTGGCGCCATGGCCTTTGGGGTTTTGAGGTTAGCGTGTAGGATGTACCGCTTCAGCTACGCACGACATGTATCCAGTTCCGGACAAGTTCACCGCACTGAATCCCTCCGTATCCTACCTGGGTCGACTTCCCCCAGCACGAAACTACTGAAGGGGCCCTGACCCATCATGCTATATTAATAATAAGTACCCCCCCCCCAAAAAAATTATATATATTATAGGTAATTATTTAGGCCCCTATATTAGCCGAGGGGCAAACAATTTTTCCAAAGGATCAGGAAACTAGCCTCGGTAAACATCATGTCAGCCCAGGAAGTTACCTAAATCAAGTGTCAGGCCCATACTCCAGAAGTATAGAAGCATTACATACAGAAGTATAGAAGCCATAATAATTCAAACAGGGTCTCGGGGTACATCATAATTTGACTATACAAGGACTCTAAATGGAATCTAGCCATAAATACCTTCCAACTTCCATATCGCCCTAAACCCTAAACCCTAAACCCCTTTAAAGGAACCCTCAAAGGAAGGCCTAAAAGAACCCGGGATCCTCGCATTGTTAAAGCTGGCACAACCCTACACCTCGAAAGTCAGGAGGCGGAGACGTACTTACTGCCTAGCGAAGGTTCCTTAACTGCTGCCTGATATTGGCGCAAATAGGAGCTGATGCCCTAGCAACTAATCATGGTGCAGACCCCCCATGTGGCGCTCCTATCAACGGGGCAGAAATTATCGATTGTCCGCCTTTAGATAAGGCGGTACATGGAATCCATGTACTGCTAGACCTTCTGCCATCAATGCATTGAGGGTTGAGCGCTCAGACTTCATGCCTGATTTGTGGGTTGAATGTTAATCCCCACAGCTGGCTGCATGGGACATCTCAGCTGTATGCAACCAGAGCACGAACTGCCCTGGCAATGATAGTTCTGAAGCATATACATATATTCCCCACACATATATACTCGTACATACATAAGACAGACAGGCGGACGGACGGACGGACCGACGGACGGACCGACAGACATACAGACAAACAGACAGACCGACAGACAGACAGACAGACAGACAAACAAACAGACAGGCAGGCAGGCAGACAGACAAAAAGACTTACAGACAAGCACGAATACAAATGCATATACGTAAACATGTACGCATGCATAGGCATATGCATGTAATTCATAATATACATATATATATATATATATATATATTTATTTATTTATTTATATTTATATTTATATTTATATTTATATTTATATTTATATTTATATTTATATTTATTTATCTATTTATTTACT